GTCGGAAGTTTGACTTCTAAACTTCCTTCGACGATAAAGTCTGTAGTTTCACAAAGGGCAAAGTTTTTCTCGGAACATATGCCGGAGAATCCATAGTAAAACAAAACAATCTTCTTGTTTAGAAACATAACTACACATTTCTTCTTGGATTTTTTGCGTGGATTTGATGGCGACAATGAATAAACACATTTCTTGGTACAGTAACTGGTTAACTTCCCGACCAAGTTTTACCGCAGCATATCAAGTATCCCCAAGTTTGGGGATCCAAAAACCACGGGGTTCATTCAAGATGCACCCAACGAACGACCCTTCACTTCTGCTGAGCCACTGAACGGCACTGAGTACATAGGAGCTGCCAGCCAGACTGCTGACGCCTCTCACGGAAAACATCAGATCACTGGGGTGGTTTCAGGGAATATTTATGTACATGAGACCCATGGAAACTCATGTTTCTTATAATCAAACAATGTTTTCAGTTGATGGCTTCTGACATTCCATTCATCCACTTTTAGGAGGAAAGTGTTGGTGTTCGCAACCAAACATGATGCAAAAAACTATGCAAAACGGTTCAGGATGTGAAGGGGAGTACATATTGGGCCTTGATTTCTGATGGACCGCAGCTTGAAACCCTTGGAATCGACGGAGTCTCTCGAAGATAGCATAGACCCTGTCAAGGTCTATGTCATTTTGGGGGAGGGTAAATAATAGCTAAACTCTGGTACCTCTGGTCGATTTCTTTGGAAACGGAACTGAAAACCCATGCATTATGCTTATAATTTGTCATATAGAAATATATATATATATATTAAATATATTATATATATATTATTCCCTGCCAGCCTTGTATGATTACTGATGACGAGTGACAACACCCCCTGCACCCAGGTCACCTGGTACCGAGCTGAGAAACCTCAGTGGCTGATGCCTTTTTTTTGCCAGCCATAACTGCCATAACTGGTCGGTCGTTTCAAACCACAAAAAAAAAGGTTTCTCAATAGTGATATCACGGCTTTGTAGAAAGGGATGTCATAAACATTCTCAAGAATAGTAGATGTTGTTTGCAATATCTTCAGTTTCACGACTCTTGGAACTAAAGCATGTTTGTGCATTGTGGTGCAAACAAATAATCATCAACCTTTCACAACACGGCCAAAAGCAGCAACAACAAACATACCCTCTGGTAAACTAACATAGCTATTGAAAATAGCCATTTATAGTGGATTTATCCATTAAAAATTGTGATTTTCCATAGTTATGTTAGTTTACCAGAGGGTACATAACTATAAGTACCGTTTCATTCATATATCCCTACAATAAACGTGGTCATCATGCGAATGTGGCGAGATTGGCTAAAGCAGCAACAGGCCGTGAAATGAGGAACCAGCGCCTGGACCCTGGACAATGGAATGTAAATCCCCTTTTCATTAGGAAAATCATATCTAAACGCGGGAAAATCTGTCAAGTCCATATGTATGTGTAACTATATGTATATAATTATATATATATACATAAGTTAAAAAGTATTTTATACACATGTTTTACATTGCATTGCATTGCATTGCATTGCATTGCATACATTATGCATACTGTATGTATATATATATATGCATGTACACTGGCCAAATAAATATATAAATATATATATATATATAAAGTTATAAATAATAATTATGTCTATGTGTCCCACGTAGTACGACAATATCTGCGCAAACTCCCACGCGTTGCTCGCCGCTCGATGCCATGCCACCCCAATGGCACCGCGTCGCCGTTGTCGCCGGCGCCGCTGGGTCCACCCTTCGCGTGCTCCTGCCAGGTGGCCAACCAAGCATGTTTTGGGATATAGCAATACCAATAGCAATACCAGTCAGATCTAATCAGTATAATATCAGTATATATACAGTATAATACAGTATATATGTATACATAATACATAGTATATATAACAGTAGATACAATATATATTTCTATATGCAGCATTCGCATACAAGGATACATCATGATACATCTGTAATCAACCGAAAATACGCAGATCTCCAGTGTGTGCAGGAATCTCTCACTGGCTGAACGCTCGCTCCTGCTGATCAAATCTGGAGCTCTTCATATTCTCGAGGTCTTCCCGTTCTTCTGCTGTGAGTCGCTTGAACCTGGGTTTTGAAAGCGGTACCGCCCCAGCGATTTGGAAAGCTAAGTGAAAGCCATTACAACATGTGAGGTCGAAGGACTAAAAAGTGGTGAAGGTTCAGAAGCCAATTTGCTGCTGAGATCAGGGTTTTGAGTGGCCATTGCCTCCTTTGTCTTTTGACATGATTTGTTTATTGTTATTTTAATGATGTGTACCGTAAAAAAGGATGCCCTGTTAGTTTTTTTCATGTGAAATTGAATATTTATTTCCAACTAACACATATGATCTCATATTCCTGAATAATTATATTTGGTATGTTTTCAATGTGAAATTCAATATGCGTTTCCAATTGATATGAATACTGAATACATATTTATTGTTATCTATTCATATGATCCCGCATTTTTGGACATGTGTTCACATTTTCCCCTTAAGTTTGTTGGCCTACCCAACCACCGCCAACCACCGCCAAGCACCGCCCTACACGTCGCTGCCAAATGGGCTCCCCAACGACACGGCCTGTCTGGTCGGCACCTGCCAACAGGGTTGCCAGGGTTCCTTGATGATTTCAGCAACTGGTGGGAAAGCAGGGCTTTAACGTGTTTTAACCATGGTTTAGCCATGAAAAATGGGTGATTTCCATGATTTCATGGGATTTCATCAAGACTGATGGAACATGGATGAACATGATGGTTTTACCATGAACAATAAGGAACACAACTGGTGGATTTCATAGGAGTTAAGTAACTATCATTGTGCTTGGGAATCTCTGATTGTCGTCGCTCCTGAATTGCGTGGCTCATGGGGACGGAAAAGAAGAAACCGCAGCATAACTGCTATTTTTTTGGTGACAAAAATGTCACTGGTTTCCACTGAAATCCAAGCCATCCAAGTCAGCGAGTCATCAAGTCTCCATGCTATTCCCATGTGGTCTTTTCACAAAAAAAAAGCCCATGGTTTTTAAGTTGGCTCCCGTGTGTCGATTTTCACGGCTATTCCCAGATGGATCACCTATAGATCTTGAGAAGCCACCTGGGCATCCCTGGGGGATTTCGATTCTACGTCTATCTCTACAGCTTTGGATGAAGCACGTCTGAGGTTGTTTTTTTTGAAAATGACTGGAACCCCAAAGTCGAATATATTTTACATGATTTAAATCATTTCCCTATTCTGAATGTCCAATAATGTCCATAAATTGCGGTCCATCAGTTTGAAACGCACCCATATATATGTACTGCCTCGGCGAGGAACGTTCCATGCTGCCGCAGGGCGCCGCCTGAGTGGATGCGGTCCATCATGACTGATGAGTTTAAAATATATATGTACTGCCTCGGCGAGGAACGTTCCATGCTGCCGCAGGGCGCCGCCTGAGTGGATAGATCGATCGATTTTTGCATGACTGATGAGTTTAAAATATAACCTTCATTCGTGTTTTTGAGGCTTTTGCAAAGACAAAAATAATCATGTTCTTATGATATAGATACAGAACAAAAACCATGAAGTTGCGATTACTTCTAGTGGTTTATTTTGCTAGACGTAGTACAATTACTATCATGATAAACATGCCACAGAAATTTGCGGTTCCATCGGTTAAACCATGCTGCATGGTGAGGAAAACCTGGCGGATCTTCAATCGGAGAATCATGGAGAATCAATGTAGTTTTCCGGGAACTGGATCGACGATTAAAAAAAACATACGGACTATGGATGTACCCTCTGGTAAACTAACATAGCTATGGAAAATCACGAATTTTAAATGGGAAAACTCACTATACAGGGCCATTAAATAGCTATGTTAAATTACCAGAGGGTAAGTCATATAATGCTATATCCATCAAAGGGAACAAACAATATGGATGGATACAAATAGTGGAAGATTCTAAAGCATGCCAGGCAATGCCAGGTTGTATTAGCAAATCAATACATGTGTCATGTGTAAAAACCAAAGATTTTTCATGTGCACATACTGAAGAAATCATCACAAGTTCGTCCCATCCATCTGGCAATCTGTGGGACTGGGACATAAAACGAGTGTAGCGTTTCGAAAAAACGTGTCACCAGGGCTGTGGTCCCACACCCTTGGGATAGGCAAATAACCTCAGTTCAGATGCAGCAAAGCGGGCATGGGTCAAACTTGGATACTTCTTCGAGCCAAGGCATGTCCTTGAGCAATGGGTGCAATGGGTCTATCACGACACTATGCACAACAAAAATAAATAGTGTGGTGAAGCCAATACTAATACATACTAATACTAAACAGTACTCATCCCCAATTGTACCACATATGGGTGCTATAAACCACCTAACATCAGAGATCTCTCACGCAGAACTGCGTTGTGGCTGAGCACTCCCACCGCTCGGGAAGAAAGTCCTCGCGCACTCAGGGGAGGGGATATGGTGGTTTCCTAAGTCATAGGGGTAGCCTCACATCATCTAAGTCATTGAAAGAAACACCCACAAATGAATACATAATATATATATATATATAATATGTGTAGAGTATATATATATATTGTGAATGTACCATCCATTTGTATCATCAACTCATGTCTATCACATGGACATACCATGATCCACATGGTTCCATTGGGTGCTTCCAACACGTGCCGTCCGCTTCGCCGACAATGCAGCTGGGCGGGCGGGAGGATTCAACAAGGCCAGCAAAACAGGGTTTTGCATCTCAGGGTTGGTGGATAGGAATCCCCGAAATAATATCTCAGGGAGATAGTAAATTCACATTGGTAGCGGAGCCCTGGGCTGCCGCCTGGGGCATCCGAGTAACTAACTAAATTTTGGGGCATCTTAGACGGGGTCTAGGACAGTCAAACAAGGTTCCATAGGCTGGAACAACAGTTTTCTCGGGCGCAAAGTCTGAGCCATGTCCTCGGAACGAAGGGCGGAAGCAGCAGATCCACCTTCGTCGGGGATTCCTCCGAGTTCCCTTCCATGGGGACAGACCTCGTTTTGATCCGTCAACGACGGACTTGAGGGTGTACACCCAGAAGTTGCAGTTCCTGCATCAGGTGTGGCCGACTGAATACATAGAGCATTTGGCGCCACGGGCGGCCTTGCTGGTGGAGGGTGCCGCACTCCAAAAACTGGCAAGACTTGATGCACAGAAACTGAGATCAGCGGATGGGGTGAAGATCCTCATTGAGACCTTGGGGGGTGCCTGGGGTCGCACAGATCCTGAGGACACCTATGACTTGTTTGAGCGAGCATTGTACTCAGTGAGCCAACGATCTGATGAAACAAACGACAGCTACTTGGCCAGGCACGACACGGTGTTCGAAGACTTGCTGTCGAAGAAGATCACACTGGCCGACGTACGGGCATATGTGCTCGTCAGACAATCGAACCTGAGCTCTGATGACCGAAAACGGATCATTGTAGACAACCAGGGCCAACTGACCTATGAGCAAGCACGGAAGAGCCTGAGGCTCCTTGGGTCAAGATTCTTCCAGGACCTTCAGGGGAATCGAGCCAATCATGGCAAGAAAACATATGAGGCCTACCAGCTTGATGAACCTGAGGACAATCATCAAGCGGCCTTCATGCAGGAGACCGAGTCCATGGAGATCGACGAGGAGCAGATCTTTCAGCTTCTTGCAGACCAAGGTGACGAAGATGCAGTGTTCATCTCTGACTTTGAGGATCAGATTGTAGACGCCATCCAGGATCACCCAGGCTTGTCACAGTGCTTCTTGAGCTATCAGGAGGCCCGTGCTAGGGTGAGAGAGCGAGCCCATGCCAGGGGTTTCTGGCCAGTGAAGGGAAAGACCAAGGGGAAAGGAGGCAAGAAGGGAAAACCGTCATGGACACCAGCCAATGGATCGTCGTGGACTCCAGGTCGACGTCGTTCTTAGGCGGACCGGATCGCCAACTCCACATGCAGGGCCTATGGACAGCCCGGGCACTGGAAGAGGGAGTGCCCAAACCGTCCGGATGTCAAAAAGAATGAAGCCACCAACATCACTGAGGAGATCCACCTTGGCACCGATGACGTCGCCGCCGACATCTTCGAGGTGGTATCCGAACTCCCAGAAGATGCAGTCTCTTGGAGCCAGGCATGGAATGAAAGTCAAAACTCATGTCATGCGGTTGGGGACTGTTCGGATTGTTTTGTTTGTATTGAGGGTCACATGTCAAACATGGTTCAACATACGCTCCATGCCCGGCTGATCGAATGCTGTAGGAAGCATGGAATTGAAACGGTGGCCCCAGTGATGCACGAGAGCGTCAAGCCTGAGACATTGCCGGACACTCGCCTGAGAAGTCCTGAAAGGATTTCTGAGCCTTCCACAAGGGAGGCCCATCCAGCAACTGTTTTCCAAGTTGAAGAAGCATGCCATGAGGCCATACTTGACACAGGGGCTAGTAGGGCTGTTATTGGATCTGAACGGTTGAGCAAGCTGGTTAGTTCTTGTGGTCTGGAGGGGTCCCTCAAAACTGCCCCCTCAAATGTGAATTTTCGATTTGGTAACTCCGGCGTGCTTCAGAGTTCACACGCTGTGTTCTTTCCACGGAAAACAGGAGGATGGATCCGAGTGGAAGTGGTTCCTGGTCAGACACCGTTTTTGCTGTCAAACTCAGTTCTTCGTGCCCTTAGGGCAGTCGTAGATGTTGAGGCAAGGCAGGTCTGGTTCAAAGGTTCCGACGATGTCATTCCTCTTAGAACATGCCGCAAAAATCTCATGAGTGTTGATTTTACCCAAATTCTAAACTTGTCATGTGGTTCACATCAAGAAACTGATCATGAAATACATGTGATGGATCAACATGAGGGTTGGAGTCATGAGTACATGCGTGAAAATCAACATGATGAAGTAGGAGACAAAACCCATGGAAAAATTCAGATGGCCGTGAATCAGAGTGAAAGTGTACAGAGAAATTTTGACAACTCTTTGAAGAATGTCGGGGATGGCCTTCAAGCGATGTCTCAAAGGGTAGCCCAACTTTTGCCCAAGTTTCCCAGTTTTCAGGAAGTGCACCCAATCGAAGCAGTCAGCCATGAGTCAGGATCTTCACGATCAGCAACTGACATTCAGGATCGACCCGAAGCTCAGCACCACAGCGCAGTATCCCGAGTCGGCGCCGGCAGAAATTCAGCGTCCACCGGGGATCTCCACTCTTCGAGAGTGGGGTCAGCTGAAAGTGCCATCGGGAAAGTTTGGGGGAAAGACATTCGAACAGGCACACAGCGATCTATGCTATGTTCGACAAATGTGGAATCGGAAGGCGGTATCCGCCTGGGTTCGAAGTTTTCAGATGTACTGCAGAGCCCGAAGTCAGGCCACCCACGAGTATGCCTACAAGATGCAGGAGCAGGGGATCGAAGTGGATTTGGTCAAACACCTGTCACAGGTATCGAATGGGGCGAACAGCAGTTTCAATGCCGAGCCCAAGCCGATCAGCAAGCCCAAGACCCCGATCGGTGCGACCCAGGAGAAAGACAAAGCTGGAGAGTGGATCAAGATCGAAGAGGAGATGAAGTCAACGAACGAGCACAGCCGAGCTCCCAAGAGGGTGAATTCCAAGCCAAAGGCCTCAGCCATGGCAGTGGAACCCAACCATCATCGGGTTCAGGAGATTCGCACACAGATTGCGATCCGGGAGCGGGAGCTTGCCAAAGAAGTCCAGATCCCCGAAGAGGAGGACATCTGAGTGCTGAGCTTGACAAGATAACCAACTACATCGAAAGTGAATGTCCGATCGATTCTCTGTCCCCTGGATTCTCTGTCCCCTGAGCACGAAGCGATGCTTCACATGGCCATCAATCGGAAAATCAATGAGGTAGAAAGCGGGTTGCTTTTGTTATCCTCCAAAAATGATCTTGGTCATGTGAAAAAGGGGAGACATCAAACAGAGGGGAATCGAAGAAATACCCACCAAAGTCGGCCATTGGACCTATTGGAAGTTTACTGTGAACCTAATTCCCAAATTACCACACAGATTAACAAGATTGGGGGACGAGCCATGCGCTTTTCCAAATCTGATGGGGATCTGAATACTTCCGAGGGAGTCCAAAAACTTTGGTTATGGATATATATGTATGAACCTCGCCACGTATGGTTGGCCCCAGAGTGCCGGTTGTATGGAAAAATTTCCAATCTCAATATGAGTCAAAGTCTTTCCATGTATGACCGGATTCAGGAACAGAGAAAGCACAACAAGCATCATCTTCAATTGTGCAATGACATCTACAACCATCAAGTTTCCCATCGAAGACATGTGCACCTGGAACAACCATCAGACTCGTGCATGTTTGGTCAACCCGAACTTAAGGAGCTGATGTCTGGAACATATGAAGCCAAATTTGACATGTGTGAGGTTGGGAAACTCAAGCTACCCCATATGGAAAAATTTCTTAGGAAACGAACAAGTCTTCGAACCACCAATGGGTACTTGTACCATCACCTTCATCAACAATTTTGTGGGAAGAATCATGAACATGAAACCATCCAAGGGTCGTTTAACCATCAGGGTCAACGACAAAATGTATCAGCATATGCTGCAGCTTACACCTCAATTTTTGGGTCTAGGATTGCACGGCTGATTCTTGAGGAGTGCCAAATCAAGGAACCTCCTTGTGTTTCCGATGTGTTTGTTGCAAAAGAACATCATGATCGACCAGGAACTGCGCCGGACGATGCTCCGTGCCCAAAGCGGCAACGACACTCAATTAAAGGGCCACCTCGGGGATCGGATATCCCTGTTGCAGCTCCGACATATGGACGGGCCCCAACTTGGGAATCCATGATTCGCAAATGTTCATCTAGGGTCCCCAGGGTTGGAAATTTTGTGATCCGTGTTGGGGAGGATTTGTTTGGGGAGTTTCAAATGATGGTGCCGGAGCTGCAACTTAAGCTTGTGATGCTGTGCAGAGGAACTGAGAGGTTCCGTGTTCCCGGAAATCTGTCAAAGGGTGAGCCAATGCCATGGCGGAAAACCATCATCATCGACCGTGCTACCGGTGAGGTGATCGACAAAGGACCACCGGAAAACTGGACAGCACTGTCTCGAATCAAACAAACTCGAAGTGCTGGATCCGCAAGATTGTCTGTAACTCTGTTTGGGGATAAGGTAGATATGGGAAGTGGGGAGTGTAAAGAGGGGAATAACTCAGAAAACCCAGAAAGTGAACCTATGGAAGTCGAACCGGGTTTGGATGTTCGTGCAAGTGGGGGGGGTCCTGAGCAGGGCTGGCCTCCAAGGATTGTTCCCAGAAGTGGCCCTGATTTTGAAAGCTTAGAGCCTGGTCAAAAGTCGGATCTGAGAAGGCTTCATGCCAACTTGGGACATCCACACCCGGGGAAGCTTGCAAAACTCCTCATCGAACAGGGTGCTGACGAAGCCGTGGTGAAAGCCGCTCGCGACTATCAGTGTGATACGTGTATAGAAAATCAGCCTGGTCCAAAGCTTTCGCATCCGGCAAGCCTTCATGTTCCAAAAGATTTTAATGATTGTGTTGGATGTGATGGAGCCTATTGGACAAATCAACAGGGTCTGAAGTTCCATTTCATGCACTTCATTGACGAAGCCACACTTTACCATGTTGGGGTTCCTAGTGGTAGGACAACTGAGGAGCAGATTCAGGTTTTCGAGAACACATGGCTGAACTGGGCAGGGCCATGTAAGGTGTTGTATCTAGACCCTGCCGGTGAGTACGTCAATGATCAGTGGCATGATTTCGCCCAAAAGGAAGGGATCAGACTTTCTGTTGCAGCTGCAGAGAGTCACTGGCAGATTGGCCGCGCTGAAGCCCATGGTCGGGTGGTCAAACAAATGTTGACCGCCATGGACCTGGATGAACCAATTTCGAACTTTGATCAATTTCGGAAAAGCCTTCGACATGTGTTTGCAGCGAAAAACTCACTGAGTAGTGTAAATGGTTATTCCCCTGAACAGGCGTTGTTGGGCAAGTCTTGTGCAATTCCTGCTTCACTTGTGGGAGACAGTGATGCTGCAACACATAGTTTGGCAGAAAGTGAAACCACTGAAGGAATCCTCTTTCGTGAAAGCCTCCGAAGGCGCGAATGCGCTCGAAAGGCTTTTCTGACCGCTGATAATAACAGCGCTCTTCGCCGAGCAATTCTCCGTCGACCCCGAAAGGAAATTACCCAGTATAGGGCTGGTGATTGGGTACTTTACTGGAGAAGACTCAAGGGGAACCAAAAAGGGGAACGGGGAAGATGGCATGGTCCCGGTCAGATTATAGCCACTGAATATCCGAAAATTGTTTGGGTAAGTCATGGAGGGTATTTAGTGAGGGCAAGTCCACAACAGCTCAGACCTGCTTCTCTTCGAGAACACCTTGAACTTCGGAGAGATGTATCAGGGAGAATAATGGACGAACAAATCAAGCCTGCGTGTAAGAACTTTGTTCAACTTGAGGGTGTTCCTGAAGAGGAGGACGAAACCTCCGTGACCAACCCCATCAGTGGGATTCCTGGCAGTGCCGCTGATGGAAGTCAGCCAGAGGGCGAGATTTTCCCGTCTGCGGCTCCGTCGTCTGTTTCGCCGTGCCCATCTCTTTTGGATGACAGCCCTGAAACTCCAGAGGAAGGACTGGACTTTAATGCCCCAATTGAAACACCGGTTCCAGAGGACGGGGATCTTTTGTTTGGGGATGATTGGGAAGTACCACAACAAGGAGTAGGTGTTTGGGAAATATCCCTCGAAGATGGTCCCCCTAAGATGGTTGATGAATGTTTGGTAAGTGAATCCCCCGAACTATTGGAATGGTCATTAATTGCAACTGGGGCTAGAAAACAAAGGGTTGAAGTACAGTGGAAAGATTTGGGAGATGCGGAGCGCCAGCTGTTCCAGCAGGCAAAGAACAAAGAGATAGATGCCTGGGTAAAACATGAGACTGTGAAGAAAGTTGCAAGAGGCACACTTAGGGATGACCAGATAATGCGTTGCCGCTGGATTCTGACATGGAAGCCCCCAGCTCCTGGCACAAGCGAACGACGCGCCAAAGCGCGCTTAGTGGTTTTGGGTTTCGAGGATCCCCAAATTTCTTCCATCTCTGCTGATGCTCCCACTTTGTCCAAGGATGGCAAGCAGCTAGTGTTGCAACAGGTAGCCAGCAATGGATGGCGCTTAGTAAATTTTGACATTGCAACTGCCTTTTTGAAAGGACAGGGAGATGGAAGAGCCTTGGGTCTTCATGCACCAAAAGAGCTCAAAGAAGCCATTGGTATGGGGCCAAATGACCAATGCAGCCTTCTCGGAGGAGCCTATGGCCGTGCTGATGCCCCAATTTTGTGGTATCGAACACTGCGAAAGACTCTTGAAGGTCTTGGCTTTATAGCATCACCTTTTGACGGATGCGTGTTTAGCTTGGTCACTCATGGCCCAAATGGACCTAGGGTAAGAGGCTGCCTAGGATTACATGTTGATGATGGGATAGGGGGAGGTGATGAATATTTTGGGAAGGTCATTGAACGGCTTAGGAAGATTTATGATTTTGGTGCCTACAATGAAGGGGAGTTTGAGTTTTGTGGGGTGAAATATTTTCAATGGGATGATGGGTCCATTGAGATGGGGCAAGACTCTTATATTCAGAAAATATCTCCCATAGATATCCCTCGAAAGCGCCGACAGCAGCCAAAAGAGTCACTGTCTTCGACTGAAACTCAGTCACTTCGTCAGATTTGCGGGAGTCTCCAATACGCAGCGGTCCACACGAGGCCGGACATTTCAGCGAAAGTTGGTGAACTTCAGGCAGCCATTCCATGTGGTCGTGTAGAGCATTTGATTTTGGCCAATCGGGTGTTGTTTGAAGCGAAAACAAAACCTGTGAATCTGATGATAATTCCGATTGCCGAGTCCAAGGTGACCTTCTGTGCATTCTCAGATGCCTCTTTTGAATCTGGAAATGGCAACCCAACGAGACAAGGCACCTTAATTTTCACCACGGATGGCAATCTCGCAAAGAACCAGCGAACAGTGATTTGTCCAATGGCATGGTCATCAAAGAAGATTCCGAGGGTCGTGCGTAGCACGTTAAGTGCAGAATCGGTCGCACTGGGGTCCACGTTGGACCGGTTGAGTTGGTTGAGGGTATTTTGGGAATGGATGAAGAACCCTGGAATTGACTGGTCCCAGCCTGATGTGATTTTACGACGGGCTCCTCATGCAACAGTGGCAACCGACTGTAAGTCAGTGTATGACTTATCAACCAAGACCTCAACACCTTCGTGCTCGGAATACCGCACCACCTTGGAATGCTTGCTCATACGAGAGCGTCTTCGTGAAAACTGTGGTCTTAGGTGGGTCAACAGTAGGGCCATGTTGGCTGATTGTTTAACCAAGTCAATGGATGGCGATGCTCTGAGACAAGCTTTGATGATCGGACAATATGCTCTGTTTGACGAGCATGAAGTGCTCAAGGAACGAGCTGACAAACGATCCCGACTGAAATGGATCAATCTTGGGAACCATAACGGATCATAGAGAAACCATCTGGGTGAATAATGGAGTTGATGTGAATTTTTTGTTTTGTTATTTTTGGATTTTTGATGAGTGTGAATGTACCATCCATTTGTATCATCAACTCATGTCTATCACATGGACATACCATGATCCACATGGTTCCATTGGGTGCTTCCAACACGTGCCGTCCGCTTCGCCGACAATGCAGCTGGGCGGGCGGGAGGATTCAACAAGGCCAGCAAAACAGGGTTTTGCATCTCAGGGTTGGTGGATAGGAATCCCCGAAATAATATCTCAGGGAGATAGTAAATTCACAATATATATACACATTTATATGTATACATATATATTGGGATAGAGAACCTAACGGACTTGATATAAAAATTGGCTGTGGACCTAAATTAATTGTGGTTTAACGAATAGGAAAGGGGGAGGAATTTCTATCCACTCTATAGGGATAGAATCGACGAATCGAACGAAGAATCGTGGGTTACACTCCCCAGTGATGGCTATCATTTAAAGGGAACGTTATTGTCTTAATCAGTGGATGGACGATTTTTTTTGTCGAAAGACATAGTCCAAAGATGTCCAAAGCTTCCAGAGATGATCACAGAGATACCAGGATTCTGACCAGCAAACAACATGGATCAATCAAATTGGGTGACAAACACAATACCATACTTCTTTTTTTTTTCCGGTCAGGTAAGGTCAAACAAACATGGAGAATAGATGACAATTGGAAACCCACAGAATTTTACCTGTGACATGGTGATTTACCTGATATTAGTGATATTAGTCACTAGCAAATTTCCTGATATTAGTCATCTTTTTTGATAATCTTAACGCCAGCAATAGAATCTGATTTCATGGGTAATTTGTCTATTGCTACTGGACCACCATAACCATCCCGTTGGGTTGATTCATTGAATGATTCAACGTGACTCCGACCCAGGCTTTTCAAAAAAACAGCTGAAAACTATGGGGTTTAAATGGCAACACAAAAAAGACACTAGCGGATTGCTTAGACCCTGGAAACAAAATGAGAACAATATATAGAAAATTATACGTACACATATCCCATCATATCCCCAAATTCACATAGACCCTGGAAAAACGACCATTGTTTGGTAGAAACGACCACTGTCCAAACCCCCCAATCATGGCAGGGTCGTCCTCAATCTGAACATCTTTGGCAAGATTGGGGCAGTGGCGCATCATCGGTGTCACGCTGCAGCTTGGATGGTGTTGGCTGAAATGATTGACACTAACTACAGTAAATTTCTACAAATGATTGCAATTGCTACAAGAGATTACACTATGTACACAAAAGATATTTGTGTATCTTTCTGGCACCTGTGATGACAAGACCTACAAATCGTGTGAGTCCGTGGGTACTACGATGTTTAAAACCAGGTGCAAGTTTCGAACTAATACACTCATTATCATGTCTGCAACTAATACATGGTTGTTCAAAGTTGTTGGCGCTTGGACACATGCAACATCGTGCAACATAATATCCTTTCTGGCGAGCCTGGCCAATTGGGTTGTGGACATGAAGGAACTTCACTTTTTGATACTTCAACGACTTTTCAATCTGGGAACATCTCAAGAGTGTCTACACCACTTAGATGCCGTGAAGTTCTACAACCGGTTGACAGTTGCTGGAATAAATCTCGAAACATACATAGGTTACGATGGGTCGTTGTATCAACAAATGGATGGCTGAGAAGCGGTTCAAGTTTGGGCCTAGCTCCTGGAAGGACAAAGGCCTGGAGAAACTAAACCTCGACGACAAGGCTGGGCAAAATGGTA